GCCACCTCATCAGGAGCATGCCCAGGCGTTGTAGGGAGGTCATACGGGCACGTGGAGGCCACACACACTACTGAACCTCATTTTGACTTGTTTTGAGGACATTACATCAAAGTTGGATCAGCCTGTAGTGTTGTTTTCCACTTTAATTTTGGGTGTCACTCCAGATCCAGACCTCCATGGGTTGCTAAATTTGATTTCCATTGATAATTTCTGTGTGATTTTGTTGTCAGCACATTCAACTATGTAATGAACAAGGTATTTAATAAGAATATTTCATTTATTTAGATCTAGGATGTCTTATTTTTGTGTTCCCTTTATTTTTTTGAGCAGTGTATTTAAAATTTGTCTAATTAATTCACTTAGTCAGCAACATTTTCATACCTCTGCTTTAACAATATGCTCCTTGTCAGTATAAACACGGTTAACTGCAAGAAGATCCTTTGGGAAATAGCCAAATTTATTTGCAACCTATTGACACAAAAAAGAAGACAACATGTTGAGGAACATAACTACAGAGGCCAACCCAGCTGTTATTTAGTGCTGATTAACTATTTTCCATAGTACAGTACACTTACACTTCCGGCCCATATGTCTGACCTTCTGCCTGACAGTTTGTAGTATACATAGATAGTTTCAGATTCTTTAAAAGACAAGAACCGACAATCTGGTCCAGTGAAATCTTTCACAGCTTTTCCCCGACACAAAAGCACTGTGAAAAGAAAATATAAAGAACAGAACAGGTTCAAAATTGTAAGCTTTAACAAAATATTATATTTACCAATTGCTAATTTCAAAATCTGAAGCAGGCACCAACCTTTCAAGGAGGCAATCACAACACAAGCACATAACCTTTTTTGGGTTCACAGTCAAAAGTGTTGAAAAAACGTAGAAAAAAAAAATCAACTGGACTTGTTAATTCCTTTTCATTATCAATTAACGTGACAGCTATTTTCTTGATCAGTTAAGCATTTAGCACATGCATTGTAAAAACAAACAAACAAAAAAACTCATTACAATTTCCAAAGCTGAAAATTTCACTTTTTTCATCCAAACAACAGTCAAAAACTGAAATGTACATGGTCTAAACATATGCATATATTTGACACAAAATACAGTTGTGATCCTGGCTATAGTCTCAGATTTGACCTAAAACACATTTAACAATCATTAGAAAATAAGGGAGAAAAATTTCTCACTGGCTGTGTTGCTGCTGTGACTTTGTGCTAATGTGTCTAATTTATATAGTTGTATGACTCAAAACTAGCTTTCCCTGATGATGTAGGAATCTCTTATCACCCACACCAGCCTTTTGGGTTGTAATTAACACTTTGGTAACATTTACAGGTCAATGTTATCTATAATAACAACTGTAACAGTCTCATCAGGCTTGATCTGTGTTTGGTAAAGTCGAGCTATGTAAGTTGTAATATAAAATAACATACTAACTGTGTTAATGTGAAGAGATTCTAACGTTACATTTAATGGGTTTGCTAAGCTAATACCACAGCCTGCAGAGGTACGTTAATGTTGTCAACAACATGTGATGCGACAACCAGAGAAAATGTGGCTTAGCAACAGAGCCATCGAGGCTGGCACTCTGTAAATTCATGTTAGCTATTGTTTGTTCCGGTACTACATTAAAATTAACAGCGCTTTTT